CACCTCGAGTTTTCCGAAGATGCCAGCTTAACTTCCAATTCATAGCCTTTCGAAGTAACGACCCAAATCTTGTCCTTCATATTGGGACGAGATGTTGGGTCGATATCAAACTTGATGTTGACGAGTGACAGCTTAAATCTGTTTCCGTTGGATGAGTTCGAATTATGGGGCCGATTGCCTTCGCCACTTGTGCCTCTAAGTAGAAGAGGGAGTCGCGTGGCACTTGGACCGCTATTACCCAAAAGGTAAGCTCGTCCTCTTCTCGGCGTTGTTCTCGGGGTTGTGCCTTCGACATCCACGGTTTGAACTCCATCTTGTAGGTATCGAGGCCAATTGTGATGTCATCATGTCTCTTAGTAACCATCCAAGCCGCACTCACCCTAGATTTCGCAACGTACGAGACCACATTTGGACTCTCCACCTTTACTCTCCCACGTCGAAAATTCTCCGCCTCTAGGCTTCCATCCTGGATCTTGTCATCTTCATGAGCACATACGATATCATCTTTTACTTTCTTGGGAAGGAACCTCACCCGTTCTCGAAAGATTACTGTCACAGTGTGTTCCTTCAGCCAACTAATCTTCACTCTATCAATCCGCTCGTTGCTTTAAACCTTACTTCCCGTCCTTCCACTATCATCTCGCCGAGATCGATGTTGGGAGGCATGATACCTTCTTCGTAGCATAAACACATCAACTCTCTTAGCCTCTCATCATCATCTTTGTCTCCTCCTAGCTCAGGTGGAGGATAGCGAGCACCACGTTGATGTTTGCCATCTTCCATCTCAACCGTAGCGATGGTATCTTCTCCACTCGACGTCCCTTGGAGAGGAATGTAAAATTTAGAGAGAAGGTCTAGGAAGGAAGAACTCGGATGCCTAGTGCGTCACCATGCAAGACAACGTTATGAGCTATTATGCTCCTATACTTGGACCTTAGCCGACTAGTCTCTATGACACCATCACCGATGTTCACCTTCACAGGTAAGCAACGGCGACCCTCCGAGCATGGCGGAAAGGGGTAGGGTCATAACAGTCGTGACATCGTCACGATGGCGGCGCAAGCACAGCTCACTCAGAAGCCCACGTTACCGAGGGCTTAGTGCTTGGTCCGAAACGCCGTAGCGCCGACAGAAGCGCTTCGGCCGGCCCCCTCGACAATCGAGCTTATTTCGGGCGCCACCTTTCCTGGCATGTGACAATCAAAAGGGAGAAAAAAGAAAAAGAAAAGAAACAAATACGAAAACAAAATAAAAAAAAGCACATTCAAAAACAAAAACACGCAGGGGGGGGGGAGAGACACAAGCAGAGAGAGAGAAGTGCAAAAGGGAATGCATCTTCCCTCAAAAGCAGGAAGATTCATTACCACCACAGAGAGAGAGAGATGGCGACCTGCAAGGAGCCCCAGCAAAGTTGCCGCCTCTCTCTCTCTCTCTCTCTCTCTCTCTCTCTCTCTCTCTCTCTCTCTCTCTCTCTCTCTCTCTCTCTCTCTCTCTCTCTCT